GCCAGTCGCAGTATTATATGCTTGAAGCCGCTAGTTCGTGGATGCATTAATATATGTACTGATGGTGAAGACTGGTGTTCCAGACGGCAGGAGAATGAAATTAGTCCTGGAGCTTAGCATAGCTTCGTATGTCCTAACACACAAAGAAGTGTTCACAGAGGAGACAGAAGGGACTCCAGAAGGACGGAGAGGTGGGGTACACCACCAAGTGTTAGACACAGTACACACAACCGAGGAAGAAGTGAAGAGGCTGCTGAACTAGACACGTCAAAGGCGATGGGGCCGGGTAACATCTCTCCATGGGTCCTGAGAGCAGGAGCAGAGGCGCTATGTGTACCCCTAACAACAATATTCAACACATCTATCGAAACAGGGAGATTATCTGAGGTGTGAAAGACAACAAATGTAGTCCCAATTTTTAAAAAAGGAGACACAAAAGAAGCACTAAATTATAGACCAGTGTCACTGACATGTATGGAAAGCCATGGAGAAGATTATCAGGAGAAGAGTGGTGGAACACCTAGAAAGGAATGAGCTTAACAGCCAACACAGTTTCAGGGACGGGAAATCCTGTGTCACAAATTGGACTGTAACAATGGGTTTGACACAGTTCCTCACAAGACATTAGTGCAAAAACTGCAGGACCAGGCAGGGATAACAGGGGAGGCATTACAATGGATCAGGGAATACCTGTCATGAAGACAGCAGCGAGTCGTGGTACGTGGCGAGGTGTCAGAGTGGGCGCCTGTGACGAGTGGGGTTCCACAGGGGGCAGTCCTAGGACCGGTGCTGTTTCTGCTGTTTGTGAACGACATGACGGAAGGAATAGACTCCGAAATGTCCCTGTTTGCAGATGACGTGAAGTTGATGAGAAGAATTCAATCGGACGAGGACCAGGCAGAACTACAAAGAGATCTCGACAGGCTGCAGACCTGGTCGATCAATTGGCTCCTGGAGTTCAACCCCACCAAGTGGGGTTGAACTCCAAGAAAAGGGCAAAGAAGACCTCAGATGGAGTACAGTCTAGGGGGCCAGAGACTACAAACTAACTCAAGGAAAAAGATCTTGGGGTGAGTATAACACCAGGCACATCTCTTGAGGCGCACATCAACCAGATAACTGCTGCAGCATA